GTGTGTGTGTGTGATAGTGTGTGTGTGTGTGTGTGTGTGTGTGTGTGTGTGTGTCTCCTCAGGGTAACTCAGGGTTGGGGTTTAGTATAGCAGGTGGTACAGATAACCCTCACATCGGCGATGATCCTGGGATCTTCATCACAAAGATCATCCCTGGAGGAGCGGCAGCTGAAGATGGCAGACTCAGGTGGGCCAGTATTTTGTAAAAAACTTATGTGCATGCATTTGTTGTGTTACATGCAAGATTGCCTTTACATATTCTCTAAATACACACTCAAATTTGTATGCTAAAAATATAATACACACTTAGACATGAAGAAACTAAGACATCCATAAAACCTTTCCTTTGAACAAAAAAGTTCTTTATAGTGGAAAAAGGTTCTTTAGACTATTAAAATGTTCTTCACAGTAAGAAAAAATATATATTTTAAAAACTGTTTATTGAAAGGTTCTTTGGGGAACCCAAAATGGCATTGCTGCAGAAAAACCCCTTTTGGAACCTTTATTTCTGAGTGTATGTAATGAAAATTGTGGTCTTAGACTTTTTTGACCCTATTTTTTGTCCATTATGGAAGTGATTATGAATTGATTTTAAATGTTTTGCTGAATTGATGGATTATCAGAGGAAATAATACTGTTTCTTATAAATTCAGTAGATCACTAGGTAATTTTCTTTTTCAAAACATAATGATCTCGCTTATTGCTCTGGCTTTGTAGAGCAATCTCTTTCTCTCTTTCCCCCTTTTGCCTCTCGCTGCTGTAAATGATTGAAACCGGGCTGTTTATCACAGTCCTAACGTCTCTCTGGAGAGCTGAAGTACCTGAAGTTTTCTGCTGACTGCCACACACTCTGACCGCGAGGTACTTTAAAAAATGTACCATCTGCGAGGTCTGAGGTGACGTGTGTGTGTGGGTATAACGAATAGACCTGACCAAATCACTTTCAGATCACGTCAATCTTCCACAGGGTAAAAACAAACACGTTTGCATTATACATTTTGTGTAAATACTCAAGATTCAAAGATTCTTTTCTTGATTTAGTGAGAATTTATTTTTAAAGAAACATTTTTGTGACACCTTACTGAAGGATTAATGAATGAAAGAAATGAAATTAAAGGGGTAGTTCACCCTAAACATTTAGATTGTATCATTTACTCACCCTCATTTGTTCCATACCTGTATGACTTTCTTTCTTTTGTGGAACTTACATGGAGATATTTTTATATTTTGACAATTGTCTCTATTATTCATTATTTAAGCTTGCAATCAAAATTTTGATGAATATGAATGTAACTATTTTTCATTCCACAAATACCAAATTATCTGATACTTTCCACACTCTTGCTGTATGGCAACAATTATCTCAGTTGTTTCTATTTTTATGTCTCCAAAGGAATTTTGAGAGAAAGTTGATTATTGAATAATATGACAGAACTCAATTATGTCTCCTGATCTAAGATGTTGCTCTGCATGTTTCTGAAGAGGTTGAAGGTTTAATTGATAATGGTGCGCTGTAGAGTTTCTATACCTGTCTGGATGTGTTTGAAATTCATGTCAGGGCCGATAGGAGTTGATTGAGAGGGTTGTTTTATTAGAGGGAAGCATAATTCGATTGTGCTGGAGAGATAGCAGATCTTCCTGTGTTTTGTATGCATGTGTGTGCGGCGCTCCGAACAGCAGCTGCATGTGGCAGCCCCGTCTGAGCCTTTCGCCCTGCTCTGCTCCATGACTTGGCTGTTTTCTTTTATCCTCTCGTTCTCAATCAGGTCTGTCAGGGCTTGGAGCATCACCAGTCCTCCTCTTGCTTGTTCTCTCTGGGCAAGTTGCACCGCTTCAACATTCAGTATTCTGCCTTATACCCTCAAGCATCGTTCTCTCTCTTTCTCTTTCCATTCCCCTTCCCGTCCACCCCATATTCTGCATTCTGTCTTTTAAAAGAGTACGACACTTTGAACGTTCGCCAATACGCTGTGATAGATTTATTGTGAGTTGGAGGTGAACAGCATTTAGAGAAGCAATTACATTGTGTATGGGTTTTTTCTCTGCTCTACCCTTGTTTGACTTTGGGTGTGTTGGAAGCGGAACAGTCTCTGGATAAATCATGCAGGCTTTAAAGATTGGAGGTGCAAAGGAACAGGAAGTTGCATCAGAGATTCTATATTGGGTAAAAGACTTGTATGATCAGATTTTATAGAGCTGGACTGGGGATCAGTGATGGGAATAAGACATTTCTGGGCATGGTTAGAGGAGAGGGATGCATAGGGAAACTAGAATGCTTATGTTCAGCTAAAACAAAGAAACCTTATTTTTAAGTAAATGATTGAAACATATGTAAATAATAAAATACAAAATAATTAAATAATTAATTAAACAATAAAATGAATATAATATGAAAAATAAATAAATCATATTAGATAATATATGTGTTTGTGTTATACTATTATAATTTTTATTAGTATTTTATTAAGATATAATTATATAATATTCAATTTTCATTTTAATTTAAGTTTTAGCAATTTTGTTATGCACTTATCATGTATATTAGTTTTTGGTGTTTTTTTATATTTCTGTATGTTTTTGTAATTTTAATACTTATGACTTGAAGGAAACATTTCTGTAATTTATTTATTTATTTAAGCTTTATTTCAATTTCCTAAAGCAATTTTTATAGTTTTAGTTAATAACAATACAATAACAGCAATTATATCAATATGTATTTATTGATATATCAGTAATATTTTATTAATTATTAATTATTTAATATAATTAATATATATTATTTTTTATATCTCCACCATAGGTTGCCTTAGGCATCATTTTAAACTGTCTAAATTGAGTTGTTGAACACTTTGAATCAGTTGTGTATACATTGCATATATGCGTGTGTGTGTGTTCATGGCTTGGTTGAGTGTGTGTGCTTGTTTGCTGGGTCTCAGCTGCTCTATGTGAGCATGCCCCAGGAGGCGGCTGTCCTTGGACCACAGGCTGCCGTGATCTGGAACTCTCTGCAGGAGGCTCACCACGCACTGCGGGCTCCAGAAAACTCACTCCTCACTCTTATTTCTCTCCACAGAGTGAATGACTGTATTTTGCGTGTAAACGACTCAGATGTCTCGGAGGTGTCTCACAGTAAGGCGGTGGAGGCTCTGAAAGCGGCCGGATCGATTGTGAGGCTCTATGTGCGCAGGAGGAGACCAATGCTGGAAACCGTCACCGAAATCAAACTCATAAAAGGACCAAAAGGTTTCAGATTTACAATTACCGTAAAACCCATCTGTTACCTGAGCTGTTTGTCACCATTTGCGTTAGGGATGTGTCACGGTGTTTGGCCGCTCTGGTGGTTGTTCATAGTTTTGCACTTTCCTAGTTTGCATCCAATATTTTTTTTCTGATTTCTGCTGTTATAAAAGAAAATAGGCTATTACTCATGTACACATTCATATCTAGGGTGCGAAGATAAATGGAAAACAAATCAAGATTTGAAACTCCACTGAGCCTGAGAGTTATCACGTCCTCTTTTGTTGGTTGTTGTTTGGGCGGAGCAATAAACAGAATTATATCTTGAGAAAGACACGGCTTTGATGCATTATTCAGAGCACATAGAGGATGATGCATCACACATACACATACAGCAGCACTTGCACAAATATGGAGGAAGAGATTCGGGCACCCCAGACTCCTCAAATCCAAAACAACATTAACACACTCTACAGTATAACACTTGTTTTCTCCTCTAGGAAACTGAGGAACTAGATTATGCTTGAGAAAAGTGTGTACTTTCTGCTCTGAGAGAGTTTTGAGTACTGTTTATTACTAGTAGTCAGTTAACTTCTGAAAGATTCAGCATTGCTTCTGTGTGAGGGAAAGACATAGGTTTGATAAATTAGAGGTAGCCTGTTGTCACTGCATCTATGGGGATGTAGCTAACACTTTTGATTTGTCCTTTCTCAAAATCCCATAGGGCTCGGCTTCAGTATTGCAGGTGGTGTGGGAAACCAGCACATACCGGGTGATAACAGCATTTATGTCACTAAAATCATTGATGGGGGAGCTGCGCAGAAGGACGGACGGTTACATGTTGGAGACAGACTGCTTATGGTATGGCTCATTAACCTATTTTATTTTACTATATTTTATTTTACTTTATTATTATTTTTTTCAGTTTCTTTTAGTTTTCTCTTATTTATTTATTTTAGTTTCAGTATTTTAATTTACTTAAGTCTTTAAAGTGCCCCTATTATGCCATTTTTAAGGTTGCTAATATTGTTTTATGAGTCTCCTAAAACAGGTTTACATGCATGCAAGGTCAAAAAACATGTTAGTTTTCTCAAAAAATAGATTTAATTTTACCTAATTTCTAAATGATTTGTAAACAACTCGTGCGAAGCAGTTCAAAGAATCAGTCTCTCTAAACCCCTCCTTTCCGTGAGCCCTCACTGCTGTGATTGGTCAGATGGCGCAGTCCTTTGTGATTGGTCCAGAGCCGTAGAGAGATTGGCTCTGGATTGGTCTACATTGCCCCGTTTCTCAGTGGTACAAGTGTTAACAAGTTTGTGGTAATTATAAGATGTGAAAAAAAAAATTTTACTCTCACAGTGTAGGACACAGCGTCTTCTCGACATGATGTTAACCACAATTTTACTGTGTTTGTGGGCGGGCAAGTTGGCGATGTAGAACATGGGCGGACATTATGCAAATGTGTTACTTCGTGACGTAGAGCCGTAACAGAATAAGATTCGAATTCCTGACGACGTGGGCGGACATTATGCAAATGTGTTACTTCGTGACGTAGAGCCGTAACAGAATAAGATTCGAATTCCTGACGACTCGTTTAGGCGATTGCGAGACGATTCTTTTTTTTTGATAGACAATAACTTTATTTATGGTGCACTGACGGCTTCACAACTTTGCAGATAGTTTATGTTCACATACAGCTACATGACACACTGCATGAAAGGTAGTATTCGAAAAGGCATAATAGGGGCACTTTAAGTTTGTTGTAGTTTTTATTACAGACATTTTTCTGTTTATTTCCCCCAAAAATGTGTTTAAGCAGCTCGAATTGGCTCAACCAGTGGCGTGAGTTTGGGGCAAATTTTGAGTGTTTCATACAAAACAAAAACAACAAAAATCACTGTCCAAATGCATAGAAGTTGCCCCCAGAGATCTTTGGGAAATGAGCTGCATTTATAGTTGGCTGATTACATTCCTGAAGTTTCGCTCGAGTGTCAGTGTCAAACTCCATTGCTTTTAATCCAGGGGGGTTGTTAAATGCTTTAAGACTGAGTTTGATTTAATTAGCAAGATCAGTGCTGTGTGTAATCCACTGGGCAGGACACATTTGGCAGCTCTGATTCGCCATTGACCACTAGAGCGTAACTGTTTACGTAACTCTGGATTGCCCGCTTGACACATCTTGCTTGTTTTCTCTTTCGCCCAGGTGAATAACTACACTCTAGAAGAGGTGACCCATGAAGAAGCAGTGGCCATATTGAAGAACACGTCAGATGTGGTATACCTAAAGGTTGGGAAACCCTCTAGTGTCTATCTCTCAGACCCCTATGGGCCGCCTGATATCACACACTGTGAGTGATTCTTACCACATTTACTCTTCATTATGTAATACATATGCTTTCTTAAACCAGAATAACACTAGAGAATAATGAATAGTGCTTAGAAATTAGATTTTTTTTTTTTAAGTCAGCATTATGATTAGCCAATGTGTGTAATATAAACTCTCTCTTTGTCTCTCTACAGCATTCTCACCCGCTATGGAAAATCATATCTCTTCCCCCGGTAATAACGGCACTCTGGAATATAAGTCCAGTCTTCCGCCCATCTCCCCCGGTCGATATTCCCCCCTGCCCAAGCACTTGCTGGTGGAAGAGGACATTAACAGGTTGGATGGTTTTTCCTTCCTACGGTAATTCCCTCCCTTTCTACCAGACGCCACTGCCCACAGGTAGACTGTGTAGCCCCCTTGCCCCATGTGTCCTGTGGAAATCCGAAAGACAATCAAGCAGCGTCATCACACCTAGTGATGGGATTGTTTTGGGATTTACTGTCCCATCCTTTACTCCCTCCTGTCCTGTTAGTTCTGTACTGTTTTTACGTTCCTGGATTTTTAGTGGTCCGTGTTTGTTTTGAATGTACAGAACAACATAGGCTCTACCTACATTTTTGCGAAAATGTGCCTATATATACACAGCACAATTCACTGCAGTTTCCATCTGAGTGGAAGTAAAACATCAACAATTTTTGTTCCTTTTCACACAATTTATGATTACAGTGGCAGATTGTGAATTAGTAATTATTTACAATTTTTGCACAGTTCTATGCACAATACTATTTTATGACATAAAAGTAAAAAATATAGTAAACTTGCTCAGTAGCTCACCTGGTGCAGTGTTGCACTTGCGGAGCTCTCAGGTCTGAGTACCGAGTAATACTACACAAAGTTGCAAGAAGCAAGCCAAAATGGTTGCTTCAAAGTAATGCATATTTATTTTCACTTTGCTTTAGTTAACTCTATTGGTTGTGTTTTGAGTAGGTATAATCAAATATAGTTTTAATCTAGGTAGTATATTATATTAAATACAATAGAGCATTAACATTTTAGCACCAGTCACCGGACATTTCATTTCCAAACTGCCACGATATCACAATAACCATTGCCATATTCACATTCATCTGTTTTGGATAAACCTGAACATGCTTTTAGCACCATTCATTTGACATTTCACTTTGAAAATGGTACGGAATGTGCAAGAAGCAATGCAATATAATTTTGCACAGACATGTTTTTCAGTGAGCCTGGGTTAGTACAGTACATAATATCGTAGAGACTTTGCTAGGCACCGCGGACAGATGCCGAATGGCACCACCGGTGTGCGTACGCTCATAGAAAACAATGTGTTCGAATTTTAAAGATGTGGCGCTGCGCTGCGCTTCTTGTCCGGTGTGCGACCAGCTTTAGAGGTGGTATTTTTTCAGTAAGGAACCACCTACAACACCCTAGCAACCACAGCATAAGATTTTTATTACAAAAAGGACCGAATTATCATACTGATTCAAACTCTTAAATCTGTAATTATATCAGTGTGTGTCAACAGCATGAGCTTGTTTTTGCACACTGGCTTGCTTTTAAGGGTGTTTTGGGAGACATATGTTCAGGACTGCAGGGCTGGGGATGTGTTTGGTTCACTGCAGTGTAACCTGAACCAAGTGATGTGAATACTGAGCATCATCCCTGGAGTTTTCTGGAAAAGAAAACTGAAGCACAGAACTAAATCTGAGGACTTAACAGTCTCCATGAGAACTGTGAATTTAGAATAGCAAAGAACGTCATAACAGACTTCGGTTTTGATTAACTTGTCTCGCGCTCTTTCTGCCGGCTGGCTTCTTGATGTGTTAATATACCCTGTGGTTGTTTTGGGCCTCTGAGGCTTTTGATAGCAGTGTTGAGTGTCTAGCAATGGTTGCTTAACAGTATTTGAGGCTGTTGTCTCTCGGACACGCGTTGGATGTGTGTAGCTGTATCTGAATCCCAGAATTTTACTAGCCTTATTGGCTTATGGCCACACTCACCACAATAAGCTTCATCAATCCACTGGGGAAGACAGCACATTTGTTTTTCTGCAAATCCAGAGTATTTTTAGATGAATAGTTACTAAATAAAAACCCAAGTTCAAAACTGCCACTGCAATTTCTCAACCATGTTTGTCACTTTTAACAGACGGCCTTGTTAACGTCTCCCACTGTGAAACACAGTTAATGCCACTCTGCTGTGAAAAACTCCTAGCTTCACTATGAATGCTAAACGTGCATGCAAACACACATTCCAAACAAAGAACGTGACCTTTCCCAGAGGTGAGAGAAAAAGATTAAACCCCCTCTTCTCTGTAAGAGGTTTACGTGGTCTTTGTGTTCGGAGAAGCATAAGCCCATCTGGAAGTTCAGTCCCCTTCATCTCTACTGTGTTTTCCACAGGAGAATCAGAGAAAATCAAAGGTTTGGTTGAAGATTATAATATGGAATGGCAGAATGTTGTAGCTGCTAATATCTATTTTAAGTTCAGAGACTCTGGAATATGGAATGGGGCTTTTCATGTAGATTAGCATAATAAATGTAAACTTATTTTATGGCTCACAAGTTGAATAATTAATTAGGTGTGACATTAGGCAGATGTTCAGGGGGAGGATGGACATGTTTTTGTTCGTGCATGTGTCATTTTGGTTTAGGGGAACAGAGTGTGAAGATGCAGGGTTTGTAGGAGTTGGTTATGTTGCCTTAATCTCCGTGCATTATTAGAGGAAAGTCATGCACACAAACATACACCATAATGTTATACAAAAAAATTTAAAAACAGTTGCAAATGCTTCACATACTTCTGTGAGGCTATAGGACCGCAAAACACACACACACACATACACACACAGCCTGGTCATTCAATCATCATAAATAATACAGCTGCAGAAGTAGAACATTCCATACTTGCGTCATGTACATACACACTCAGCAGTGCTACCTTGGGTCAGTACTCAATTATTACTAAGCACACCTCTAATGAACTGGACATTCATGATTATTAGATGTGTAGGCAGAGAGTTCTTATGCAATATGTAATTCAGCAAACTGTGTGCTTTGCTGAGGAACAGCTGTCACTGACCTTAAGGACTTTTATTTCTGACTTTAATTCTGAGAAACTGTTGTGCATGGTTATGTACATGTGGTCATGGACACGTTCTTACATCAGCATCCTTTGCTGATCATGTAAAATCATCGTTCAGTCAGCTTTACCCTTGACACCAATGTTTCTCAGCCTCTTTGACTTTTTGATTGGTCCCCAATGTACAGTAGGCTGTGATTTTCACAATATAATATTTGAAATAGTAATAATTCAATGGATCCTTGCTAAAAATGATTAATTCCTATCGATAAAAATTATTAATATTATGTAATGTATTTTAAAAGACTCCAAACTTTCGATTGGTAGTGTATGTTATTTAAAAAAAATTTTGGGAAAAAAAATTGGAAGTTAGCTGAGGCCCCCTAGTGGGCCCCCTGGTCCTAAACCCACCCAAAATTCTTACTTCTAACAACCATTTGTGTGTCCACACTGACACTTCAGATGGTATTTGATGTTTAATACAGAGAAAGATTTTAGACCAGTGAGATTTCACAGTGGGCAGGGCTAACTAACACGACAAATTCATGTATTATACTGTGTAATAACTGATGTATAATTGGACCATCAAAATATCGGCCATCAAAGGTATTTGTCTATAAGCGTGTGCTGCTTAGATAAATCATGTTAAGTTTGTGGTTCCATATGTATAATGTGAGTCGGTGATGCTGGCTGTTCCTAATTCTATCTCTGTTAAAAAAAATTTTGGGAAAAAAAATTGGAAGTTAGCTGAGGCCCCCTAGTGGGCCCCCTGGTCCTAAACCCACCCAAAATTCTTACTTCTAACAACCATTTGTGTGTCCACACTGACACTTCAGATGGTATTTGATGTTTAATACAGAGAAAGATTTTAGACCAGTGAGATTTCACAGTGGGCAGGGCTAACTAACACGACAAATTCATGTATTATACTGTGTAATAACTGATGTATAATTGGACCATCAAAATATCGGCCATCAAAGGTATTTGTCTATAAGCGTGTGCTGCTTAGATAAATCATGTTAAGTTTGTGGTTCCATATGTATAATGTGAGTCGGTGATGCTGGCTGTTCCTAATTCTATCTCTGTGCCTCGCCGTCAGTGTGAAGTGCCAGAGGGTTTGTGCCGTGGTTGATAATAAGGGTTTTGTCATGGTTTTATTTAGCCCGCTGTGACCCTGTATTAAGGGCAAGGAGAAGGGGAGAATTGCAGATTTAAAGAAATGTGCTGAAGCCAGACACACAATGAGAGACTGAGAGAGAGGAAAGACACATTGGGGAGGAGAAGATACAAAGAGTACTGTTAAAGATAAAAAGACAAAGGGTAGAATGTAAAGAAGGTAAAAGAGTGTTTGTCAGTCATCTCCATTCAAGACGAGTCACAAGCCAGCCTCACACGACGCAGAGCGAGGAGAGAATACGGTCCGGTGAGGAGCCTATCATAAATATATCCTACTCGCATTATCTGCAAGATGTCTAATGTAGCCTTGTATCCGCAATAAGATCTTGCTCGCTTTTACCCACAAACAGAGGCTCACTGAAACATGCAGAGAATGTTAGAGACTAGTGATTAGCACACATTTTTGAATGGTAGTGTATCTGATTAAAATTTTAATATTTTGAGTGGTTGGTTTGGTCTGTTTGTGTGTCAAACCCAGTTGTGTTGTATAAGGGGGCTTGTTGTGTTGTCACATTTGGTTTTGTCCTGAATTCTGTTGGTGTCTCTGTTTTGTTTCTGCATGCTACACGTAACAAGTGCTGAATCAATTTCAGCTGTTTTGAATGCACATTTTAACATTTGATTCATATAAACTGCAGTCTGTTTTGTCTTCATGCTAACCTGTTGTCTGTTTCTAATCAGAAATCCCTCGTTAGATGAGATGGAAGGTCACAGGTTTGATTCCCAGCACTTCCAGTTGAGGTGAGCGACTTATGTGAGCCATCGTTTGGGTCCTGAATGTTCAGTTATGTCCTTCTGCACAACGCACGCTTCCCACAGCTTATTCTGTTTTTGAATCCTAGAGACTGGATTGTTTGTGTAAAATGAGACAGCGACAGTCAGATATGTAATTTTGAGAGTTCAAAAGTGATTGAGACAGAGGGAATGAATGAAAGGTCCCTGGATGTCAATCCCTGGGGAGTCTCTTTACACTGGCATGACAGTATTAACAGAATGTTAATTATTAAAAGCAAATATTGAAAATCTGAGGGCTAATTGAAGATGCTGAGTTGAAGAATGGTGAAACTGAAATAGTCCATTTTAAAAATTGTAACACTAATTATCAAAGCTAAATGTTGAATTAACCACTTGCAGTTCTTTCCTTGTTCCTCCCACTTCCACTGCTATGTTTTTCACCCTCTCTCTCTTTCTCTTTTGGTCTATCTTTTCCTCTCTCTGTTAGTGGTCGACCGATATGGGTTTTTGAATTCAGTGAAAACACTGAATTCAAAGACATAATCAAGTCTTACTATTATATGCAATTTTGCTTCTAGGGTTAAATGTGTTGTAGGCATGTTTCAATATTTACATTGTAAACCAAGTCAAAAAAATACTGAAAATTATTTGTTGATGTTACGTGGAATGGCCTGCCTGTATATCGGTCTGTCACTACTCTCTGTCAGTCTACATCAGCGCACTAACCCTAGCTGCTCTGCTCTCTGCCTCTCTTTCTTTCCCACACCAGGCCTCCAGAGCCAGTTTACAGCACTGTGAACAAACTGAGTGACCGCGCCCCCTCTCCCCGTCTCTACTCCCCTGTGGAGTTTGATAAAAGCCCCATGCACTCAATCCCCCACTTCCCTCACTATCACGTAGGCCTGCTCCCTGACTCCGAGATCACCAGGTACTGAGCACAGCACTCTGCATGGGACGTGAATGAGGCATGTGAATAAAAACTGTGTGACCACGCCTCACCTGCATGGCCACACTCTAATTTATGCTCACTTGCATGCCGCGCCCCATTTCAAAGTCACCTGCATGAATCGCCCATCGTGCACTAGTCTTAGTATACCTCACTCTTTCCTTAGTCTTTTCCTTTAATTATCTGAAGAGGTTTGATACAGTGAAGCGACATGAGTACCTTCAAAAAGGTATTTATGTTTTCTAAGAAAATGCACTACTGTTTAAAAGTTTGAGGTTGGTATGATTTTTATTATAAATGAAATTTGTGTGAAAGAATTCTCTATGCTCACCTAGGCTGCGTTTATTTGATTAAATATTTCAACTGTTTTCTAATTTATGTTACAATGTCATTTATTCCTGTGATGGCACTTTTCAGCATCATTACTCCAGCCTTCAGTGTCACATGATCCTTCAGATATCATTTTAATATGGTGCTAAGAAACATTTCTTATTATTATCAATATTGAAAACAGTTGTGCTGGTTAATATTTTTATTAAAAACTTGGTACATTTTTTAGGAATATTAGAAAAATATAAATATTTCAGAAAAACACCTTTTATTTGAAATAGAAATCTTTTATAACATTATAAATGTCTTTACTAACACTTTTGCTCAGCACAATGCATCCTTGCAGAATTAAAGTATTAATTTCCTTAAAAAAAATTCTTACTGGCCCTAAACTTTGACAGTAGTGTATGTCTGTTAATGAAAAGAAGAAAACAGCTTGTGAATGCCATTTCATGCTGACATGCTAAAAAAATATCGCATTGAATTTTGCATTGAATTTGACTACGATGCAAAGTGCACATAGAGGACACGAGCGTGAAGATTGGTAGTTACCATGGCAGTTACCCATGACAAAAGTATAACTGAATCACATCTCTGCTGCAGCTGTCCACTTACTTCCTTCCCTTCCGCAGCCACTGTCAAATGTCCGTATTTTCATTTGTTAGACTGTATTGCTTATTGACAGCTTCCCCATGAAGGTCAGAGCTTGGCCGCTGTCATATGCAGTTTGCTTGTGTGCCTGTGGCGTCCATCTGACATTAGTGCATCATAAATCAAATTGGATAGATTTTATCTTCCTTATTTCCTGTCTAACCGATTTCATTTTAGGTTCAGGCAGCAGCTTGTATCGTTAATTGGATATAAAACTTTATTAGCAATAACGCAACATCTCTCATCTTTCTGATTAAATGACTAGGCATATAAATGTAATAGTCCGGAGATGAACGGAGTGTAAACAGGGGGTTTGGCCACAGAGGAAATGCTCTTCGGGACTAAGAGACTCTCAGGCGCAAATGGCTGAGTAATGTTTCGCTGTTATCCGAATCTGTGCATAATGCCCTCAGTGTGGGTGTGCTTTGTTTACCAGTTTGTTTTGATTTTGATTTTTAAGTTCATTACTCTATGAATTATAAAGCGGCGTCTAATTGGCTTCTCTGGGATTTGAGTTGATTTGCATTTCAGAACGCCACCGCTAACACCTAATGCATCGCTTAAATCCTCAGGACTTGCGGAAAAAGCGTTCATGAAAATGCCAGCGATAACATCTGTGATTAATGGATTGCTGTCTCTCATGTTCAGGGTCTGCCGCTTTTTGATGATGCTCTTCAAGGGAAAAGCGCAGGCAGCAGTTCTGTGAAAATGGCCAATTCTGTGTGAGATTGTCAGTATCGTACCAAAAGTGAACGATTCTCATTTTATGATGCATAAACACCAAAATACTCTGCCTAAGAGCGCTGTTACTTCACATTAGCTTTGTTTGGGTAGCTCCTGACAGCTGCCAGTAAAAAATTGGCCAATTCTAAAACAAATCCCATGTGGAGCAATGGATTTGACTGTACCATGTGCCATGTATGGCTTAAGTGATTGGCTCAAAACCCTGGATCTGTGGTCAATTAGCTGGTAAATTCAAAAACTTTTTCCAGGTATTATTGACCCATTTAGGCATCACCAGGAGATACTAGCATTCAATTTGCAAAATGATATTTCAAGCAGACTCTTTCTTGTTCAGTATTGCCATTCTCTTTGATTTGACTAGAATTCAGATGTCTTTAAAGTTTTCTTAATGTGTATCCACTTGGCAATAGTATACAAAAATTAATTTGATCCTAATCAACAACCTCAAGCGTGGTTCCCAGAGAGAAATCAGATCTGATGTATTTCAAGTATTTCGGAGGGCCTCAGAGGATTCAGATCTTGTCATCTCTGAATCATCAGTCAGGAGGGAGAATCCCTCACATCATTCAATTTGGATCCAATTGGATGAAGTCTTGCTTTCCGGGCTGTTCTGTAGTTTCGCAGCATATGCGTTCGATGGTGGTCATGTCCCCTACACCAGCTGCTCACTGATCTGAAGTGATGGTTTGTTGGTACCATGATTAATAATTTTGTTTGGGGCTAAAGCGAAGGGTGCATACTAATTGCGTTTTGCTGATGTGGACAATTTCGCAATGACATGAACCATAAATCACAGTTCCCACAAGATTTTGTAACTTCTAATTTGTATGACTTGTGATCCTTTTAGAGCTGGTTAAACTAGCTTAATCTAGTTTGCTGACAAATTTTTTAAATACGCTTCTGGAGAATGTAAATAACGAATGTCTGAAATCTTAAACCATTTCTAACAGTGATAGGTGTTATGTATATTAGCATGTTTTGTACGAGGAGAATACTAATTCTACTGGAGCTTTTTAAAGTATGCCTTTTCATCATTTATTCATAACTCTTATTATCAGTGAGGCCATGAAGATTAAATTAGCTTAATTTATTAGTGGTGTTTGCTAAGACAGTCTAGGATAAAGAGATCTGAACAAACCACTAACCCTAAGTATTAAACTTTGGTACATGACTTGTGCTAAAGTTTTGACTATGCATTTTGAGGGATATATTTTAGATTTATTCATTTAAAAATGAATAGTCATCTAATTATATAGGCCTAACTGTTTTAAAATCTAATCTTATTTAATTCATGTAAAAAAAAATAGGGTTAAATTTAAGAGTAAAATAACACTAGATTTTTGTGTTTTACCTGGTAAAACTTTGCGGAAAAAAGGCAAAACTAAGAACATATATGGATCTTGTACTGTGTTGTGATCAAATTAATGATTTAATCATTTTGCTGCTTGCCGTAAAAATGTGTGATAATCAATCTTATTGAGCTGTTTATATTTAGTGTACTCTTTGGCTGTTTATTCAGATGCAAAATTTGCACTATCGATCTTAGATTCTCAGCAAAGCTGTTTACATTGCGATAACACCACATTCATTGTTTGTTCTTTAGTCCCTAAATGTCCTTTGCAATGCATTGTGGGACATGTGCTTTAGTGAACCAGTGAATAATGAAACCCTTTCTTCTTAACCTCCGTCCTCTCTCTTACTGATAGTTTACAATACAGGCCCATCTCACATTGATCAGTGGTACAATTTCAGTCAAAACCCCAGTTTTGTAACTCTTGTAGTTCTCATGATATACCAAGCATTTGCCAATTTCCCTCGGGAGAAAACATTGACGTTTTTAATAACAAAAGTTCAGTGTTTACAATTGTGTCCTCCTTAAATGTTCCCTAGGGGGCCTAATTTGCTCTGTGTGTTTTCTCTGAATCTGTGAATCTGATGAAAGTCTATTGATTGTGTTGAGGGGTATCGGATATGTCTGAGTAGGTTGATCGATCGGTGGCAGTTATAGACTGGCACCACAGAGTGTCAAAGCTTGAGAGAAACCCAGCAAAGATCATTTTCGCAAGGTATTCATGGTTTTATTTCAGAGGTCATAGGTGTTATCTATGCTGTGGGAAAAACGGAGTGTGAAAGTATGATGGATGGATGGATTTTGAACAATTCATTAAAAGGACCAGCTCAAAAGAGTCATATGTTCATGAATCGGGATGGATGGATGGATGGGTTGATGGATGGATGAATGGATTTTGAACGATTCATTAAAAGGACCTGCTCAAAAGAGTCATATGTTCATGAATTGGGATGGATGGATTGTGAACGATTCATTAAAAGGACCACCTCAGAAGAGTTCTATGTTCATGAATCGGGATGGATGGATGGATAAATGGATTTTGAACAATTCATTAAAAGGACCTGCTCAAAATAGTTGTATGTTCATGAGTCGGGTTGGCTGGATTTTGAACGATTCATTATAAGGACCAGCTCAAAATAGTCATATGTTCATGAATCAGACTACACTTTTTGTGTCGTATGTTTTTGATTTGCCAACAAGAACTGGTTCTTGAGAGTCATTTGTTTGTGAATTGAGCGAGAATTCAAATGTCTGATCATCATACATTCATTCATCACTGATGGTTGAATTCTGTGTGTACAGAACAAGATTAAGAGTGTACTCACACTAGGCGATCTGAACCGTGCCGGAGCGTGTTTGACCCCCAATGCCAGGTTCGTTTGACAAGTGTGATCTCTAGTCAGTTCATTTAGCTGTCCCTGGCTCGCTTGGCAGAGGTGGGCCAGATCACGGTTCAGTTGGGCTCGGGCGCGGTACGCATGTAGTGTGAGTGCTAACAGCACCCGAGCTCAGAACTGGAAATGTGCAGCACGATTGCGTGAAAATTTCTGAGCGGCAAAAGCGATAGATCTGTTAAGCAATATATTGTGAGAGGGCTGTGTGTCACCACGTCCCAAACGACTCAAAATAATAAACCACAAAGTTAACAGGTGAATGGTGCACATTGGTGGTGGTTGAGGAGAGACCCCTTCATATGATGGTAAATGATTGTGATTGTTGCTTTGGCTGTACAGCAATACACCATAAAGCGCTATATTAAAGCCTCATTCATTCATTCATAATGACGTAAGTGTGCTCCGGCCCGGTGAGAGAGAGGGGGGGGGGCATCGCGCTCGGTGTGAGTACACCCCCAGAAGAAGAGTGACAATCATATTTATGGTAGCTGCATTGCTGACATTGCTGATGTGTATATCCAATAGATGACGTATAATGGGATTAATGCTCTTTACAGCACACGTTTAAACAGTTTGTTACCAAGTCCAGGCAGTGTGAAAGAACAAGAATTCATTAAGGTGTTCCTTGCTTTGGCAGTCATGGCCTAATGGTTAGAGTCGGACTTGTAACCCAGAGGTCGCGGGTTCGAGTCTCAGGTCTGGCAGGAATTGTCGGTGGGGGGAGTGAATTACCAGTGCTCTCTCCACCCTCAATACCATGACTGAGCTGAGACCCTTGAGCAAGGCAACGAACTGCTCCCCGGCCGCCGCAGCATTGGCTGCCCACTGCCCCGGGTGTGTGTTCACGGTGTGTGTGCATGTTTGTTCACTACTCACTGCTCTGTGTGTGCACTTGGATGGGGTAAATGCAGAGCACAAATTCCAAGTATGGGACACCATACTTGGCCTCACGTCCTTTCCTTTCCTTTCCTTTGTTGAGTGCTGAAATATGCAGCTTTTAGCTTTCAGCCCATTTCTTCAAGGCTGAGGGTCATTACATAGGTACTCTGCCATTCTTTTCCTTTATTGAGGTTGAATCTGAAAGGCAGTGGTTATTTTGCCATCCGACAGGAGCGTAGCGTGCCAACCCATTAGAAACGACAGCTTATATTTCACGTGGATGAGGCTTCTGACACATTTCCATATTCAGAATGCTCTTACAGTGGAAGAATGCTTAGTGAAAGAAGGGAGGGAGAATAACACAGGATGACAGTGAATAAGTGGTGGCGGGTAAAGATGTGTGAGGGGTTGCATATGAAATGCCAGTCTGCCCCTCTCCTCCTCAGGTATTGTGAATTGAAAACGAGTGTAATCTATTTGGTTTGTTTTCCCATTTGGCTCTGAACTTGAAATGATAAACAGTAGCTGTTTGTAATCTGGGACTGAGGTGCTGGGGGAGGCAGACAGGAGCTCTATCAGCATTTTGCAGCCAGTAGAGAGAGAGAGAAAGGGATGAAGGAGAGAAAGAGAGAGGAGGAGAAGTTTGGAGGATAGAAATGTAAGTGAAGAAAAAAGATTGAGAGAGTTTAATGAGGGTGGTTACAGCCGGTGGGGCGCTACAAGCACTCAACCCACCTCTGAGCCAGCCGTTACTCAAAATAAATCTATATGCGGTATCAAATACATAATGATCAGCATATCATTAGTATCAGCATGAGTCCTCAGCTGTCACATATGCTTCTCTGAGTGATAAGCTGCAATTTGTGTTTGTATAAACTAGAATAATGCAGGGCTCGGGTGTTTCTTTTAAGCTTTTAAGAAAAATCTTACTAACTTTTACTTTTTTAAGAAAACAAAATACTTATCCAAAAATCTATATTTATAAATAGTGGCTGTTATTCATTAAATTAAAATTGGATATTTTTTTTAATTAAAATATTGCAGTGTTTATTATAAATTATTTTTTTTTATTAATGTGCCTTCAGAATCTTAAAAAAAGCATCTTTAAAATAATTAAAAAATATATCTAGTCTATGACTTTATCAACTTCTGTTTCATGCAGACTTTAATCTTAATATTATTTTTATCAGTCATATAATTATTATATACAATTTTAGAGTAATAATTTATTTCCATCCTAATTTCTTCCACTTTCACCATTAAATGGACCTGATTAAGATGAATAGAATAAGATCCACCTTACACTTTATCATTGTCATGACAGTCAGCATGTGTCTTGTCTTCTGTCAGCTGTGTGCAAGACAATTGGCAATCAGCACATATGCCACCTCTGTGCCTCATTTAAATAGTCTGACAGCAGCTCACCTTTTCTGTGCTGCATTTGCAGTGTAAAGACAGATTTAGTTGTTCGATTGCATAACCTCATGTGACATTTCAGTTGTCCTAATTATCCTTACGCATACATTAATGGTTTTATACCTCATCCTGAAGCACAACATGGTTTGAATAGCTTGAGCAGTGTTCAGTGAAACTTTTGTGCATGAAACTAAAATAAGCCTGTTTTTGGATTCTCAAATATGGAGAATTGTTTGTGTGAATTTGTTTGCTATCTGTAGAAGTGTGCAGTTTGAATTCAGGCTAGATTCAGTTTTTTCTGGATTCTATGGGTGAACAAATGGTGCTATCTAGTGGTAAAATAGCCCATGTTCACATCCTGGCTGTATTACAATGTGCAAAGAGAATAGGAGCTGTTCTTTGCTTAAAGTCTTTGCAGGTCATGCATTTTTCGTTCATAGCTGCACTCATTTATTAACAATAGGCAGCATTATTTATCTAATGGGTACTGATAAACATGTGAGCTCTATTTCCATAGCATCAGACTGATCATAAGATCAGAATATCTGATGAACTTGTTCTGATGTATCCAATTTATAGACTAAAGGTGAATGTATTAGGCAGCATTGTATTAATAGTCACCAAAACCACACATTTAGAGAGTGTAAGTGGATATTTCCTCCAAGAGGATGCAGTCTATTGATATCTGATACGTATTTTGTTGCAGAGTTTTAGGTAGGATGTAAGTTGTTATACATTGTCAAAGATGTGGCCTTTTACAATTTAGCTGTACGTAAAAACATCTCCAACAAATCATGGATGGATGGATAGCAAGGTCTAGCAATTTCTAAGTAAATGAAGTAAATCCTACACCAAATATTTTTCAGTACGTATGCCATAGTTGTCCTGAAAAAAAAACTGGAAAATCCTTATCATTGATCTTACTGATTGATGAGTGGTAGCCAGAGGCCTTGCCAGTCTGACTCATGAATATTAATTAGGTTGTTTACCATTGGCCAAGCAGTCACGATTTGCTGAAAAACAGGATTACTGACACAATCAGGATTACCACTTACTGATTACATTGGTTGGTTTGATCAACTGCTGATGCAACCGGTTGGCACAGCCTTCTGTTTGGTTCTAGTGCCATTGTTTTGTGTGTTCTGCTACAGTTTTATTCTTCGCGTTGTAGCCAATCCCAAAACATTCATTGTTTGTTCTTTAGTCCCTAAATGTCCTTTGCAATGCATTGTGGGACATGTGCTTTAGTGAACCAGTGAATAATGAAACCCTTTCTTCTTAACCTCCGTCCTCTCTCTTACTGATAGTTTACAATACATGCCCATCTCACATTGATCAGTGGTACAATTTCAGTCAAAACCCCAGTTTTGTAACTCTTGTAGTTCTCATGATATACCAAGCATTTGCCAATTTCCCTCGGGAGAAAACATTGACGTTTTTAATAACAAAAGAAAAATCCAAAAAAAAAAAAGCTCTTAAAATATAATGATTATGCCCACAAAGTGTTTTCACATTTCATGGGATGCAGCTTGGCTTAGATTCTGTTTATGGCCTGAAGAGCATCATCACTCCGAGGCGAGCCAAGCAGACGCACTGGGAGAGAGATGAAGTGATGGAGAGAGAGAGGAAGGGCCTGCCTCCTCCTCACAACTAGGTCAGAGAGAAGACCGCGCTAACGGATTAGCCTTCTGTTCTAAAATAGCTCCATCTCGGGTCTCGTCTCTTTGCATTATCATCTGTAAACTCAGGAGATTGTGTACCACCACATTTCAAGTGTATCTGACAGAAGTGTCACAGCTCAAGATAGCTCTTGGTTTGATTGGTCACACTTGACAGGATGATGCCCCGACTGTCAGGATCATATGACTAACTGAAAGGGCCCAAGCTAAGTGGATCAGACTTTTTGGGATCATTTTAACAATCTGTAATGCATTTCAGCACAGCTTCTGATTCAAACTCTGATTTAAACTCATAAAGTAATATTTTTGCCATTTGTTTGGCATTATAATTCATTTTACAGTCATGTTATACTGACATTTAAAACTCTTAATTTTGTTTTATTTTAAATTATACTATATATACACAGCATGAAGTGACTGTGTGTGTGTGTATGAGAGAGAGAGAGAGAGAGAGAGAGAGTGTGTGTGTGTTTATTTAAAAACTTTTCATTTTTGTTTTATTATAAATTATACTATATATACACAGCATGAAGTGATTTTGTGTGTATAGGAGAGAGAGAGAGAGGCTGTGCGTCTTCTCCGTTTCTAGGAAACCAGGCAGAAATGGGACAAAAAGCACATAAGTGGAGCAGTGCCCAATAGGTGTCAGCTGTTGTGCTCGATTTCATTGTAGATCGTTTGGACCGACCCAAGAGTGTGGATGCGTGTGTGTGTGCACGCGTAGATTGCATGTGTATGTTTACAAAGTAGCGTAGCGCGCGTCAGTGGAGATGCTGAGCCCTACGGACTCTGAGCTGATGTATTATCTGAACTGTGTGTACAGGGAGCCCAGGAAGATCGTTCTGCACAAGGGCTCGACTGGACTGGGCTTCAACATCGTAGGAGGAGAAGATGGAGAAGGCATTTTCGTTTCTTTCATACTTGCAGGAGGGCCCGCAGACCTCAGCGGAGAGCTGCGGAGAGGGGACCAGATCCTATCCGTAAGTGGACGTCCTGCAAATACATAAATTGTATACATGAGGGTAAAATGGCTAAATAATATTGCAGCGATTATAATAAGGTATATTAATCTTAATGTTTGCTGTAAACAGCCATTTATTGGTTTAGCATTTATTAAGGTTAGGTAATTAATAGATGTCATATTTTGCTTTTCTATGTTAAAAACAAGGATGTAAACCACCATAAACAAGCACACGTTGCCCTTAATATTCAAATTAGTAGTTGATAAATCTAGGTTTTTAAATGACCTTATATCTTTAACTTAAATTTAGTTCCTCTAATCATGGGCATCCATGATTAAAGATACCTAAATGTTTATTGGAGTAATTTTAATGCTTCTTAATTTTTTATAGTTATTATGTTTTGATTTGAACAAATATCATGCATGTTTTTAGGTAGTTATTCAAACTGGTATATAAAATTCCCAGAGTTGTGCAGAACCTGTACTGAACAGGAGGTGGCGCCATCACATCACTCTGTGAACCCTACCAAACCTGTACTGAAAAGACTTTTTTTTTTCTTTCGTCTAGTCACCACTCAAAACTCCACCAGTACCAGGTTTTTGTTTTTTTTTTCATTATAATTTTAGTTTTTGGCACAGACACAGTGCCGTAACTTTTTTTGCAGCGTGTTAATTGACAGCGCAATTACAGCTCTCATTGAATCAATCCAGATCAGCGATCCACTCGAGAAGCTCTCCAAGCTGATTTCCTGTCGCTGATCTCATCATTTATGTTTATCAGAGCTTCATCAGGACTCGCTGGTCGTAATCAGACCCCTCCATCCAGATCCCCGCCGCAATTACTTTCGGTGCCACTTGAGCCGAGAGCAATCACGGTCTGCCTCCTTAGGACACTGATTAAAAAGCAAGAAAGAACAAGTGAGAGGAGAAAAATAGAGAGGGAGGGAAGAGATAATGGAGTGCTGGCCTGATTTGGAGTCTAAGAATAGCTGTGTTGTACCTTCTGAGTTCACACTGTTAAATGAGCATTAGGACACGCTGCAGGTGTGCCGAGACTCACAAACACACACTTCACCTGCCCCTCCCACTGCGCTGTAGTCTCATGTTGACTTCTTCTGTTTGTATTCCTAAACCTGGTGTCACTCCAGATCCGGCCCCCCCAGCAGAAACCGGACCCCATCCTGGACCCCAAAGAGATTCCATTGGCTGAAACTAATTAGAAATGATAGAAAATTGTGTCATTTAGTTTTAATCATGAAAATATGTAAATGTATTTTAATTTACATATAACATTACTTAAAAAAAATTCACTTAGCCTTCGATTAGTAATCTGCTGTAATAACTTAGCCTGCTAGCTTAATATAATTCTAACCACTTAAGAAAAGCTCTTTTGATTAGCTAAAACAGCAAGTCACAGTGTTATACAGGCATTGAGTCAATCAGGCATCGAGAAACATTTGTAGAAACATTTGACACCAAAGGAGAGTTGACATTTTTCAGTTTATGAGCAGCATAAGGTCTATGGTTAACATTACTTCATTACTTGAAGATATTTTCGCATTTTGTTTTGAAACATAAATTGCACAGCCATAAACTACCATTCAAAAGTTTGAAATCAGTATTATTTTTTTTCTATGATTTTTATAATGTTCTATTCTATTATATTCTATTTCCAGTAGTTGTTTTTTCCATCCAACTTTCAATATATCAAAAAATCCTGAAAAAAAATCATAAAAAATGATATAAAAACAATATTTTATATATTACTTTACATTGCTTTATTATTTAATGTATTTTGGTCAAATAAATGCAGCCTTGGTGAGCATTTAGTTCAGAGGCTTTCTTCAAAAAAACATTGTAAAAATCTTTCCGAGCCCAAACTTTTTAATTGTGGTGTACCTCAAACTGCTGTGTGCTTAAAAATGTTTGTTGCTAACAAGCTGCTACATAAGGACTACAACCGTTGTCAACCATGATTCATTTATTCCACAAGTTGAAGTGTCCAGTAATGGAGGGATACATAAAAGAAATAGTATTTGCCTGATCATGTGATCTCAACATGTTGGCCACCATAAAACAGTTTTTAGGCCACAGATTTGACTGGAGTCTTCATGTAATTTTAATAGAGATTTTTCACAATTACTATTCTTTTATTTATGTGCAAAACCTTTAAATGAGAAAAAATGAGTGCAACTTTACCAGCAGTTTGGCTGCAACACCTGCTCCAGGTTTGTGTGCCAGCAGTATACAGCAATTCCCAACCTGCTTGAACATAGACTTTCGATGGCTCAAATTGGGTCATAGAACAGATGATGCACAAACTGAGCCAAACTCATATTTTGGAGGAACACTGATTACTTTGTGGTCCAGTTGTTGCAGACTCTGGCCTACAGGGTACTGCCGCCCACTGATCCTCTACTGTAGGCTTTTCTTGAGCCGAAGAACTGTGCGCCTGGATCATAGCAGGCGTTTCTTGTGCCAGATCACTCCAGGCTGAAAGATACCACATTTTCTGAGTCAAGCAATTTAAAATTTGAATTCGTTAGAGAGCTTTAATAGTACTGACAGTATTGCTGCCCTTTTAATGCTTACAATTTAAGACATCAATGTAAGTCAGTTGGTGAATTAGCTTTTATTATCACATGCTTTGTATTTTTTTACCGATAATAAATGATCAAACAGTCATTGTATCCTTGTTGATCATTTAATTAATGTTTCTGGTGAGCGTTATTGATGAAACATCATTCACAGTTAGATGCTATTGATGTAACTACCTTTGTTGTGATTGATTTCAGGTTAATGGAATCGATCTGCGAGGTGCCACTCACGAACAAGCTGCAGCTGCGCTGAAAGGAGCGGGCCAGACGGTAACCATCATCGCCCAATACCGGCCCGAGGGTAAGTGTCCGTCAGCTCCTCCTGACCAAACATCGTCGCTGAAGGTCACATGTTTCTTACTCACTGAGCCACTCAAAGTGCAGAGGTCACCTTTAGCTGCAGGCAGGACAGAACACAACTCACCCAGACATTTTTAGGCCAAGCCCAGCCCGGTGCGCTCATTATTCCTCCTGACTGTTACAGAATAGCGCATGTGCCCTTGGAGTGTTGAGGTGCCATGTTTGATAAGTGTCAGTTAGGAGGTTTGGCTGCTCTCGACTCCAGTGACCCATTCAGATGGGGTTGGATGCATCAACGTAGTTTCGGATCTGAGAATGTTTTCACTGGCTCATCTTACTTAAAGGTGAAGTGTGTCATTTTTTTTTCCATGTGACAATTCTACAAAAATGTTTTCATGGTTTCCACAAAATATTAAGCACCACAACCCTTTTCAGCTATGATAATAAAAAGAACTGTTACTTGAGCAGCAAATCAGCATATTAGAATTATTTCTGAAGGATCATGTGACACTGAAGACTGGAGTAATGATGCCGAAAATTCAGCTTTGCCATCACAGGAATAAATGGCATCTTAATATAAATAATACATTTTGAAATAGAAAGAAGATTGAGAACGTTTGAGTTAGAATACTTTGCAGGAGTGTGAGTAAAAGCAGTATGTAGATTCATTTTTATGTTTGTCATGATGATGTTTATGTAGTCCCACTTAGCCACTTATTAGCCTTTTTCAAGACTAGTAAAAGCTGAAAAAAGGTAGGTAACGTATTTTATGTCATAGAATAAAACGTGAGAATATCTTGAGTTTTTGTTAATGACAGACCTTATTTAAGACATTTACCCTAATTAAAAAAAAAACACTGACTTCCAAACGATGGAACTTGAAGTACTTGAAATGCTAACACTGAGTTTTAGGACTAATTCCTGCAGCACTCTATAGGTAACATGCATTATTTTTCCAATTCCAACTGTCACCACTAGGGGCGCCAGAAATGACACACTTTACCTTTAAATTGTATTCATATTCTTTATGATATTGGAAACGGGATATGAGGTGTGCATAGCATGAGCTGCAGGTGTGTGCTCATACAGTCTGTAATAAGGTGAGAGAGACAGATGTGGCAGCATGGTCAGGTGTGTACTGATATGTCCTCTCTTTTTTCATCCGTCAGAACTTGCCCTGTGCTCCCCACGCCGGGCCCCGCCTCCAACTGCAGGTTTGTGCCATGTGATCAGCACCTGGGTCAAGAACAGTACCACACAGACAGACTGCACAGAGCTAGACCACAGCTAAAGACTTGACCGCTAGAACTGCTGATTTTACAGTTCCTTTGTTTTGTCTTCCCTTGAGGCTTATGGGAACTCCAGGACAGTTGGAGCACTTAGATCTGAAGTTCACAGCTCAGATTCCATCTAACTCTCTGCAGTCTGGCTGAGGAACGTGGTCTCATTCTTGCCCCAGTGGCGGCTCTGACCATGGGCCTCTCATTCAGGGGAAAGGAACAGAGAGAGACCTCATGGAGTTTGCTAAAAAACACCTGAAGGACTCCAAGATGGTGAGAAATAAGATTCTCTGGTCTGATGAGACCAAGATAGAACTTTTTGGCCTTAATTCTAAGCGGTATGTGTGGAGAAAACCAGGCACCTGTCCAATACAGTCCCAACAGTGAAGCATGGTGGTGGCAGCATCATGCTGTGGGGGTGTTTTTCAGCTGCAGGGACAGGACGACTGGTTGCAATCGAGGGAAAGATGAATGCGGCCAAGTACAGGGATATCCTGGATGAAAACCTTCTCCAGAGTGCTCAGGACCTCAGACTGGAACTAAGGTTTACCTTCCAACAAGACAATGACCCTAAGCACACAGCTAAAATAACGAAGGAGTGGCTTCCCAACAACTCTGTGACTGTTCTTGAATGGCCCAGCCAGATCCCTGACTTAAACCCAATTGAGCATCTCTGGAGAGACCTAAAAATGGCTGTCCACCAACGTTTACCATCCAACCTGACAGAACTGGAGAGGATTTGCAAGGAGGAATGGCAGAGGATCCCCAAATCCATGTGTGAAAAACTTGTTGCATCTTTCCCAAAAAGACTCATGGCTGTATTAGATCAAAGGGGTGCTTCTACTAAATACTGAGCATTTTTCAGTTTTTCTTTTTTAATAAATCTGCAAAAATTTCAACAATTCTGTGTTTTTCTGTCAATATGGGGTGCTGTGTGTACATTAATGAGGAGAAAAAATTAACTTAAATGATTTTAGCAAATGGCTGCAATATAACAAAGAGTGAAAAATTTAAGGGGGTCTGAATACTTTCCGTACCCACTGTATATATGTTTATTTATTTTATTTTTTTAATAAAATAAAACAGTATTTTAATTTTGATAAATTGCATATTGAAATTCTTGCATATTGATTCTTTATAGGCTATTTTATCTTCTATTTTTGGATAGCTATTTGACTCTTATTTTTGGTCCATTTAAGTGATCAGCACCTGGGTCAAGAACAGTACCACACAGACAGACTGCACAGAGCTAGACCACAGCTAAAGACTTGACCGCTAGAACTGCTGATTTTACAGTTCCTTTGTTTTGTCTTCCCTTGAGGCTTATGGGAACTCCAGGACAGTTGGAGCACTTAGATCTGAAGTTCACAGCTCAGATTCCATCTAACTCTCTGCAGTCTGGCTGAGGAACGTGGTCTCATTCTTGCCCCAGTGGCGGCTCTGACCATGGGCCTCTCATTCAGGGGAAAGGAACAGAGAGAGACCTTGCTCTCCTGATAATCCTGTGTGCATCCTGTGTTCCCCCTGCCTGCTGCCTCACTCGATAAACTCCTCGGCTCCTGTTGTGTTTGTTTTTGGCTCTAACCCACCCGTCCAACACAGACGGCTGCTGTTCAGTACATACACATCCAGATTTTAATCCTGGGAGACATTTTATTACATTTACATTTTTCCTTTTAGCAATTTTTTATATAAACGAACTTAGAAATGAGGTACATCAGTGATAAATCATAAATATTAGATTATATTGGGGGTGATAGTATTTTTGGATGTTTTTGTCTCTTATGCCCACTAAGGCTGCATTATTTTTTATCAAATTAAAAAACAGTAATAATTTGAAATATTATTACCATGTTTGATATTTTAATATTTTGTTTTTCCCCATGATAGCATTTGCATTTATACATTTAGCAGATGCTTTTATCCAAAGCTATTTAAAGAAAAGGAGGAACAAAGCAACATAAAGCTGAATTTTTAGCAGCCACGCTGAACTTTTAACATTTCTTTTATTATTAATGTTGAAAACAGAAATATTTTTGTGTATAGGTTTTTCAGGATTCTTTGGTGAATAGAATAGCATTTTTTTTAAATTAGATAATTTTATAACAGTAGATTATAGCATTGCTTTTGATAAAAAAAATGTTGCTAAAAAAAAAAGTTATAATTTCTTAAAAAAAATAAAAAAAAATTCCTGACCCCAAACTATTGAATAGTAGTGTGTATTTAATTGTTATAACCAAGCATAAGGAAGGACTGATTCATATGAATTGCACAATTCAGTATAAAATATTGAGTATTATTATTTTACAGTTACTAGAAGTAGTAGCACTGTTGGAGCCTTATTATTTATATATATACTTTATAGGCTATTTTATCTTCTATTTTTGGATAGCTATTTGACTCTTATTTTTGGTCCATTTAAGAGAAAGTCTGTGTATGTTATGATTTAAATTTGCCCACAGTGTTTCTTAACTCCAGTCCTCAGGACCACCTCCCAGAATATTTTAGATGGCTTGCTAATTAAAATTCAACTCATGTGTAATGGAAGTAGTGGAGACAACTAAAACATTCTGGGAGGTGTGTCCTGAGATCTGGAGTTGAAAACCACTGATATACAGTATATGGCCTCAGAGCTAACATACATGGACTAAAAGCCACAAAACTGGGTGTTTTTTTTTTAGGGTTAGGTCTCTTACAGGAGCTAAATTAAGGGGTCAGGGTTTGGGTCAGCAGCCATGCTTGTCTTACTGCACTGCTCACTGTCTCCGTTCCTCGCCTCCTCTTCCACCTTTGACCTTCTCCTCTCCCAAACTACCTGCCCTGCTGAAACCAACACACCCTTACCAAAACACACACGATGGCAGCATGTTAGCCCACTCACAAACACAGACAGACCACTTTTGGTCTATAACAGTTTTCTAAACTAATATGTTTGAACATATTAGTACAGATTCAGTCTGTTTGCTGATTAAGTTTGCAGATGCAGCTTGGTATTCAATAGCATTCATACATTAAGTGTGACTTAATTGTTTAAATGCTTGTTGGGAGCACTGTATATGTTAATGCATGTATTATTAAATGACAAGTAACACTACACATGATTGAGAGTCCTGTACCATTAAAAATAATAACCACCAGGCATTCTGTATGACTGACACATGATGGTTTATTTTAGCATTCTAGCTTCTTTCTGATATTATATGATCCTCTGCTGTTCCTCAGTTGATGTTATTTGACTTTAAGACAGCAGAGGCCTGCTATAATCATACTGGAGACTGATAATACATTATTCAAGATAGAAGATTCCTATCATTCTGAAGACTGTAGTGGAGTCTGACCAATGATTTTCTAACTTCTGACACCCATCCAGCATATATCATTGGATGAGATCCTATATGAAGCAGTTAGATGTGTGGAGTAGAGACATAGTTAAGGTGACGGCAGAAGTGCTTTGGGGGAATGAATTTGGCAAGTGCATAGGGTTTCCCATTCAAAAATAAGGTCTTGAGGACTGCTTTAGCAGATGGAGGAGGTGAAGATGCTTTTTTATTCAGATGGTGGCAAGAGACAGAGTCATCAGAGGTTTCTAGAGCAGCTCCCAACAACTTGTGACATTCTGTTCTATTCCTGAACCAGTAACTCCCAACTTTCTCTGAGCCCCCTTGCATTATTTCCAAAATTTTGGCTGAGTTGTATGATAATGTTGAACTTTTGCAGACCAAGTTTTTGTTAGGGGTATTGTGAATCCATAAAAATCAATTCTCTTGGCATTAATATTTAATTCTAATGGCAATTTCCTCTGTTTGCAATATAGCCCTGCACCCACTATGCAAAACGGTTTAGTATAGACGTTTTGTGGGTTTTCACAATCAGTTTCGGAGGCGCTTTTACAAGTTTGCAATAGTCAGCGTTATGAGTATTTAGTCATAGAGTCGTGGTTCCAACTAGGCTGATCTTTTCTCCGTGGCTCAATCCAATTCCCCTGATGCTCTCAGGATCGATTCTGGGGAGGTTGAGCTCATTAAGGTGCAGGGGTAAATGCAAGCTTGCACTTTCTGCAGGGGTGTTGTGGGACTGCTGAGATGGGCTTTCCAAGGGTCCTTTTCATTAGCAACTCCCCGAGTCATTGCAATACGACAGTCTCACTGTGTAGCAACACAAAAATATACAGAATACTGAAGATGGATTGATAATCAAGCAAAATCATAGCCCAGCTAAGTTGACATTCTTACAGTAAGTTTGTCAAATCAAAACATGAAGTAGACTCTTTTATTCCAGAAACTCCTCAAGAATTGAGTGACCATTTGGTAAACCGTGGAGGGGTTATCGCATACATTTAGTTATGATTTGACACGTTTCCATAGGATTATTGACAAATGAAAATTTTTTAAATGAATTGCATAACATTTACTATTGAAATTGCTCTTAAAGAAGGAAAATCACTTATTTAGGGATTAAAGTAAAGGTCGGGGGCATGATTCAATGAGTTTGGTTTTTAAAACATTATCTTGTTGTTCATTACCAAGTTGCACTTGGTACTTGGTTTTTTTATGTTTTGCAGAGCCACGTATGCTTTGAAAAAAGATTTAAAAAAAGATTTTTCATTATGACCTCAATTACAAAGGTTACACTATATATCCTCCATCCAGTAGACAGAACAGGTAGAGAGAAGGTAGACAGATCATTTAACCATGGTCAGACAGCATTGGCTAGCTTATGTACGGTCTCTGGGAAACATGATTACATGTGATTTTATCAGAGTGCCCTCAGGTACAGCAAACACTTCCTGAACCTTAGTAATTTCACAGTAATAGGTTATACACTGAAACTCTTACACAGATCCACATATTGACTGACAGACCATTTTCTCTTCCATGAGAGAATGAACAGATTGCAGTATTTTGTTTCTATACTTCAGCACCATCACTACAAAA